AACATTTTTACTATAAAACTGGATTTTGCGTTAAAAAATTCAATTTTCGCAAATTTGCAAATTTTTTTGCAGATTCTAAAAGTAGAGCACAAGAGCTTTCTAATGATGTATCATTTGTCATATTTGGACATAAAACATGGGATTTAGAGGGGGGGTCAAATTGACCCCCCCCAGCGTATCCTGGTTTTCAAGTACCCCAGCAGGGATAGGGTTAAAGGAACTGTACGGTCGATCCCTTTAAAGGAACTGTTCGGTCGATCCCTTTAAAGGAACTGTACAGTGTACAGTGTACAGTGTACAGTGTATACGTAATTTCAGATATTACTACAGAGCCCGAAATTTAAAAGAGTATCGCAGAACGAAACTCCCGAGTTTCTTATTTGGGGTCTAAATATTTGTGTAGATTTTGAATAATGAGATTTAAAAAATAGAGTATATGAAGAAATTATATAAAAAAATATTTCATAACAAAATATAGATATCAAAAAAACTGCCTAACCCCATTCTTGAAACCCGGGTTTCAAAACTGGTTTTCATAACAATACCCTGTCGTAAGTTTTGGGCTCAGGCAAATTTGACTTTTCCTGATTTGCAACGATACCCTTGAAACTTTTTTCTGATCAAGGTTGTGAAAGATATTTTCGTTTTTCAGCGTTCAAAGTGTTCACATCTGGCAATTCCTAGAAGTTTTCTTGATGTAGAAATGCGCAAGTCACTTTGGAGAGAAACCACCGTTGAAAATAATTTTTTATATATTATAAAAATTAAAATCCAATCCATACTTGATCAGACAAAGCTATTAAGAGTACTGTTGTGAATCGGACATTGCCATCTTGTCATGGAGAGTTTCTTGAATATACGTCTACAGTCCCTTCAAGATGTTGGTAAAGAATAGAACTTGGATTGTGTAAATGTCATATTTAAAATTTATTTGAATTATATTCTCAGAAGATATTAAACAAAATATAATAGTCTTGCCATTTCTAGCTTCACCATCATGTATTTAGTGAAAAAGGTGTCACAAAAAAATGTAGATAATGGTGTTAAAAATGTATAAATACCCTCAAACTTACAGTTTCTTTATATTTTACAACGTCATAGTGTATTTCAAACTATAGATTTGTATTAATTAAATTAAATCAAAGTTTAAATTAATTAAGAATTTGCATCAAAGATATTAAAACCGAAGTTTATAGTTTTAAAATGAAGCATGAAAAGCTAAATTGTGAAAAATGTTTGACACACTGTGACCCCAAAGCATACTATTTAAATATTATTTGCTTTGGATACCACATTAAATATTATTTGCTTTGGAAACCACATTAAATAGTATTTGCTTTGGAAACCACATTAAATATTTCTTTCTTTGGATACCACATTTAATATTATTTTCTTTGGATACCACATTAAATATTATTTTCTTTGGATACCACATTTAATATTATTTTCTTTGGATACCACATTAAATATTACTTTCTTTGGATACCACATTAAATATTATTTTCTTTGGATACCACATTAAATATTATTTTCTTTGGATACCACATTAAATATTATTTCTTTGGATACCACATTAAATGTTATTTTCTTTGGAAACCATATGAAGTCATATTTGCTATGAAAACCACATAAATAATATGGAAACAATCAATCAAGCAATAATTTCTTTTCAAGCCACATAAAATATAATTTTTGGAAACCACGAAAAATAATATTTTCTGCGAATAAAAACGAAACAATATTATCTTTGGATGCCACATAAAAGAGTATTTTCTTTGGAAACCGCATGAAATTATATTTTCTTTGGAAACCACAAAAAATAACATTTTCTTTGGATGCCACATAAAATGCATAGTATTTTTTTGGAAACCACATAAAATTATATTTTTTTGGAAACCACATGAAATAACATTTTCTTTGGAAACCACATGAAATAACATTTCCATGGGTATAACTCACGAAATTATATTTTTGAAGCATACATTTTATCTCAGGATACTTAATAAATTATTATCAATCCTCTTCCCCTCTCCTTATAACTATCCCCCTGAGGGTTTAACATTATGCTTAACATTTGTAATAATTCGTTAATAGATAAAATCAGATTTAGTTTAGGATAATTTTGAATTTAATCACGTTCTACATTTTCTCAGCTTAAAGGTTATTTAGTAAAATATAGATTTCATTTTAAATAGTTCAAAACTATATGTTTTACGAAGAAACCTTTTGCAAAACTAATGTTTTAACAGAACATCTTCAGGCTAAGAACCATTCCCCTTCTTAGCTGCAAACCTTCCAGGTGAAGCAGTAAGATTTTAAAATTTTTAAGTCATTAAAAATTAATATTAAACTTCCCCTGGTAAAAATGTTTCTGGTTTTCCAAATATTTAATTTAGAATTTTAAACACATAGATATATGAAATATAAAGGTATACATTTAAAACAGGGTTGCATACAAAGAATTAGAATGCAAAGATGACCGGAAACTCTCAAAATATAACGATCAAAAGATTAAAATAAGGTAATTTGTAATTCATAGTTATTAAATCACTTATTATGAGGGGGGAGACTATACCTGGACTCTGTATCTATATTTCCTGGATTCTGTATCTATATTGAGCTGTACTCCATCCCTCCACCAGGATACAGTAGGTTGAGGGAAACCAGGGGGTGGAGAACAAGGCAGGATAATCTTCTCTCCAACAAGAACCCAGGCATCCAGGGGCTCATCAACAAACATACTTTTCAAAACTTAAAAGAAATATTAATGTCAAAACCGGTGTTCATTATTGCCTTGGATAAGTGAAACAATTTTCACACTTTAAAGAGCTAGAAATTAACATTAGAAACCTTCTCGTTGTTAGTCTTAAAATAAATTGGGAATTGGACATGACAATATTGAAATGGAATGTCACTTGAAAAGTATAGCAATTGACACCGAGTTCCTTAAATCATTCGATACTCTCTTTTATGAAAACATTATTAAAAACTTACATACGACCTCCAATTCTGTATTCCAATTTCGAATATAGAGTAGGGTTTCCAATCGGAATTCCATTGTGCGGAAGTGTGCACAATTGCGCGCAACTTTTTTTGAACTGCTCAGAATTGTGGGGAATTGCGCGGATTTAACATGACTCGCAATTGCGCACAAATAAAACCCAGTTCCGAGTGAAACCCTAATATAGAGCCGCAAAACTTACATGCTATCTCCAATTCTGCTTTTTCTGAGACTGTTTCTCCGTCCTTGTTCCTCGCAACACACCAGTAGGTTCCAGTATCATCCTCCCTCCTGTTCTGTACTACCCGGAGAAAAAATAGTGAACCAGCCGGCAACAAAACCCTAGGGGAGGGTAATATAAACTTGATTACTCGTATCAAACTTTAAACTGTAAATTTCTAAATTTGTATATCCATAGCATCAAGGTTGTAATGCAAGGAAAGTTAATTGCAGTTGTGTCTGTGTAAATATTGAAACTAGTTCTCTTTGGGCGGAATTTGTAAACAAGAATAGATCAGTGTTCGTTTAGTATCCGAGGAGGTTAAAAGCATTAAATTTTGATAATTTTGAAACTTCACAGCGACAGTACACTGCAGTACAAAAGATGCATACACCACTGAAATAACTTTCCTTGCATTACAATCTTGCATTGCAGTAGCTTTACTCTAAATTACAAAATTTTAAAAATCTTTTTTTTTGCAAGGAAAGCTTAGATTGGCGATCAAATAAGCGTTTTTTTGATTTCGTTATTTAGCAATCTATTGTATTGCGCCTTGAATATTACAAATGAATAATTATGAGTAAGACATTTGAATTTTAAAATATTGAACACTGGTGTTTACAAATATTTTGTGAATGATAATTTATTAACTTAATGGTAAGAAGTAACATTAAAATATAAGTTTAAAGGGACTGTAAGCGTTATTTCAAGTCACTCTCCATGCTAGATGGCAATACCCATTTCACAATGGTATCTTTGAAACTTTCAATTAATCAATGATATGGGAGATCTTGTTGATTTTTCTTTTGCAAGGAAACCACAATTTAAAATATTCAGTTTTCGCAATTATGAACATTGGTATCTAGTTCATTCTTGATCAGACACACATTTAAGGGTACCGTTGTAAATCAGACATTGCCATATTTGCATGGAGGTTCACTTGATATTACACTTTTAGTCCTGAAGTATTCAAAAGAAAAATAGTAAGAAAAAGAGAGAAAAATGCAGATAAGTAATTAAAATAAAGCTCAGATTTCCCACTATTATTGCAACCGGGCCGATTTTCAAGTGTTGCTTTGCCTTTGCACTGAATTTAAAAAAAAATAATATACTTTTTCTTTTTAGTTCTTGACTTCAATTTGTATAACTAAGGAATTGAGTCTTTGCCACAAACTCAAATTTTGTAATCACTATATCTTTGCAACCTGATTGTGTAAACTGTAAACCTGTGATTATTTGTTCAAACAAAAATAGAAGTTTAAAATATCTAAGGTCTCAAGACTGGGTTGCAATGAAATAGGGACTCGAAAATCAGAGTTTTTGGCAAATACTCAACTCCTTTAGAAAATTGAAATTGATAGATTTGATTGATTTAATTGATTGGTTGATTTGATTAATTGATTTGATAGATTGGTTTGATTAATTGTTTTGATTGATCGATTTTATTGATTTGATTGATTGCCTACACTAACCTGTGAGATGATGGGTCCTGAGGTGCAGTGGTGACCTCAACTCCGTTCTTGAACCAGACAATATCAGGTGGAGGTTGACCTGCCCCCTGGCATCGGAGAGTAGCTGGTTCCTCCCTACCCACTACTAGGGAGCTTGGGTGCTCAGTTATAACAGGAAGAGAACACAGCACTAAACAAGGATATAGTAAATATTCTTTAAATAATTGTACTTAACCCACAAAAATGTTTTCTAAAAATCCGAGATCGGTGGTTTAAAATAAAGAGTAACACCTATTTGAGAGTATAGTATGTTTTTAGGGACTCTTGATCAAAAGCACTACATGCCCGATTCACAATGGTACATTTTCACCCATAGAACATTTACCAGGAAGTTCTTATCGGTGTCCTGTATTGGAAAGATTTAATTTTTTTTCCTTGTTTCTGCAGAATAAAGTTGCAAGTCATTTCAAAAATACAAATTTTTCAGCCAGAAAACTAAGAATAACTCCATCATTCGCTCAGACAATGGTTTGATGGGAAAATGAATTGTGCTTGCAATCGGAAGTAAATAAAGAGCCGCTACATAAATATAATACATAAATTTCAGAATACTGAGAATTTTAATATTTTTTGATGAGAAAGCAAATTTTTTAAACCTTTGTCTCGTCTTTTGAGAAAATAAAATTATGTGTTTTTATTCAGATTCCATGACTTCTAAAATTTCACTTTTATATTATAAATCATTATAAATTATAAACAGTTTTATGTAAAAATCTTCATACAATTGCAGATGATTGTAATGTGTTAGTGGCCAATTTGTCCAAAAGTTTGTTAAACAAAATTTAACGATTTCAAAGTTACCAGATGATCAGAATTTGAAAATACCTCTCATTTATGAACAGCTAGATCTAAGATCAAACAATTTCTCGTTAACGATTTTAACTATCTTGAATTTAATGATATAATTTGTTTTATATGTACTGACTAACAAGTGATATTCTATATTTACTTATGTTCCTCGTTTAATTTATGTTTTTGTCTTTATTTATTGTACCATTTTTTGTGTGCGGACTAAACTTTAATAATAATAATAATAAATATAATTCTGAGAATGAATGTTGTGGAATCTAAAAAATAAAATAATAATGTTTACCGTCAAATTATGTGAAACTCAAAGCATTTTTAAAATTTAATTATTTTCAACTAATTTTTAAAATTTATAGACTTAACAATGTTTTTATTTTTTTCATAGTTTCTCATTTTCATATTAATTTAAGGATAATATTCATTGGATATCCTCGTTTTCATTTTAATTTTAGGATAATATCCATTGGATATCCTTGTTTTCATATTAATTTCAGGATAATATTCATTGGATATCCTTGTTTTCATTTTAGTTTTAGGATAATATCCATTGAATATCCTCATTTTCATTTTAATTTTAGGATAATATCCATTGGATATCCTTGTTTTCATATTAATTTTAGGATAATATCCATTGAATATCCTCATTTTCATTTTAATTTTAGGATAATATCCATTGGATATCCTTGTTTTCATATTAATTTTTGGATAATATCCATTTGATATCCTTGTTTTCATTTTAGTTTTAGGATAATATCCATTGGATATCCTTGTTTTCCTATTAATTTTAGGATAATATCCATTGGATATCCTCATTTTTATTTTTATTTTAGGATAATATCCATTGGATATCCCATTTTCATATTGATTTTAGGATAATATCCATAGGATATCCCATTTTCATTTTAATTTTAGGATAATATCTATTGGATATCCCATTTTCATATTGATTTTAGGATAATATCCATTGGATATCCCATTTTCATTTTAATTTTAGGATAATATCCATTAGATATCCCATTTTCATATTGATTTTAGGATAATATCCATTGGATATCCCATTTTCATTTTAATTTTAGGATAATATCCATTGGATATCCCATTTTCATATTGATTTTAGGATAATATTCATTGGATATCTTCATTTTCATATTAATTTTAGGATAATAATAATTGGATATCCATGTTTTCATTTTAGTTTTAGGATAATATCCATTCGATATCCTCATTTTCATATTAATTTTAGAATAATATCCATCGGATATCCTCATTTTCATATTAATTTCAACATTTTATCCATTGGATATCCTTATTTTCATATTAATTTAAACATTATATCCATTGAATATCCTAATTTTCATATAAATTTCAGGATAGTATCCTTTGGATATTTTTTGTTTCAACAATTTTTGGATAATATCAATGGGATATCCTCGTTCTAAATTAATTTTAGGATAATATCCAATGGATATCCTCATTTTCATATTAATTTATGGATAATATCCATTGGATATACTTGTATTCATATTAATTTAAGGATAGTATCCAATCCATTGGATTGGTTATATCCGTTTTCGCATAAAGTTTAGAATAGGGCTTAACTTTCAAAGTTCCGTGTTTAAACACTGGTATACAACTTACTAGGCAGGGGCTTATGAATTTGTCCATGATGGGGGAGTTTTAATTTTTTTTGGTCAGTGCCCCTTGCCCCTCCCCTCCCTGACTATATTTTGGGCTTGTAAATGGTTGGGGAGGGGGGGGGGGGTTGTTCCCTATAAGCCCCTGGATATGAACACTGGTTAAACTTTAAACATAACTCTCTAAACTACACTGTAAAGCAGGACAGGAGGAGAGGGGGGGGGGGGGTGCAAAATATAAAAGATTCAAAACTTTATTTCGAAACGAAATTTTCAGTTCGGTATTTTAAGTATATTTTATTTAAAATATATAAACTTTTATTTTAGGCTTATATTCCTATATTGATACTTCATGGTGTAATTTTTCAAGCTTCTGTCCCACAAACATTGTTTCATTCCCGTGGCATTCATATCATCCATTTAATCCCAACTCGAATTATTCTTATCCCATGCATTTAAACCAAATTACTCGCTCGCCTATATTAAGTTCAATAGCAATATCATCCTTTTAACCCTAAACCGACTGGGGGGGGGGGCGCCAAAAGCTCCCCCCGTAGTTTTTTTTGTCCTAGCACTCTCATTTTTGACACTATCACCGTAATTTTTTTTTGAATTTGAATGAATAGCTAATTTAAAGGATTTTTTGTTATTTTTTTAATTTAAAGGGTAGGATACAGGGTGGGAAAAAATCTTGTCTGTGAAAAAAACAATATAAAATAGCCCGTAACTTTTTTGTGACTAAAGCTACAGATCTAAAAACTATATTTTTAAAAAGCCCTTGAAAAATGCATGCAAAAACATATGTCAAATGCACTTTGATGTTTGTTTTAAACAAAAAAAATATTTTTCACTTTTTGACCCTTTTTTAGGCATTTTTTTCAACCCTCCCTAGCACCCAAACTCTTAAAGTTATAAGTTCAATTTTTCTATGAGCTAGCCTTGAAAAATTGGGCTATGAACATGCATTTCAACCCTATACCTATTCTCTAAGGCATTTTTTCTAGAGGAGGGGGGCGCAAAATAACCCCCCAGCCTTTACAAGGCTAATCCCACTTCCAATTATTCCTATTTCAGCAAACCAAATTACTCGTTCGCCTTTATTTAATTCAATACATGCCTCCATTTAAATATATATGCATCTTTATATTCCATCCCATACCTTTATATTCCATCCCACACCTTTATATTCCATCCCATACCTTTATATTCCATCCCATACCTTTATATTCCATCCCATACCTTTATATTCCATCCCATACCTTTATATTCCATCCCATACCTTTATATTCCATCCCATACCTTTATATTCCATCCCATACCTTTATATTCCATCCCATACCTTTATATTCCATCCCATACCTTTATATTCCATCCCATACCTTTATATTCCATCCCATACCTTTATATTCCATCCCATACCTTTATATTCCATCCCATACCTTTATATTCCATCCCATACCTTTATATTCCATCCCATACCTTTATATTCCGTCCCATACCTTTATATTCCGTCCCATACATTTATGTTCCATCCCATACCTGCGCTTTATATTCCATCCCATACATTTATATTCCGTCCCATACCTTTATATTCCGTCCCATATCTTTATATTCCATCCCATACCTTTATATTCCGTCCCATACCTTTATATTCTGTCGCATACCTTTATATTCCATCCCATACCTTTATATTCCATCCCATACCTTTATATTCCGTCCCATACCTTTATATTCCGTCCCATACGTTTATATTCCATCGCATACCTTTATATTCCATCCCATACCTTTATATTCCGTCCCATACATTTATGTTCCATCCCATACCTGCGCTTTATATTCCATCCCATTCCAATATATTCCATCCGAAATCTTTATATCTGGCCCAAATTTTTACCCCCGGAAAGGTTATGGATGATCAAAATTTCAAAAATTAGCCTCTAACAAAATTCGATGTTAACTAAATTTTGAAAATCAACGATTTATTTTTAAAATCCACGAACCCTTTTTTTGTTATTGTTCTGCAATGTATACAAAGAAAAAATGTTCACAGTTGAAATAGAAGATGGTCGCGAGACGCCCTGAAAGCCTAGTTTCTTTATATTCAGTCTGTCCCATTTTACCGAGCTTAAAGGTTCATGTATTCACAATTTCAATTTACACTTAATTTGAAGGATAAATTACAAGTATTGTCTGGTGTAGGCTGTATGTGATCTAAAAATTGATTTTTTTCATTTGTTGGGTTTTTTTAAGTTTATAGCCCGGATATATTCTAATAAAACAAAAAATGAAATGATCAGAATGTTATGCTTTTCAAGATAGGAAATCGACGATATCTTTCTCTATGTTATTTGAATAGAAGTTTATGGGATATCTGGTGAATACCATTGTGTAGATAAAGAGTCCTTTAAAACTACATATTGTTCCTGTTTCAAAACCTTTATATTAAAATTCGGTACTGAGTTCAATCTGTAAATTGGATATTAGAATGTCAAAATACACTGCAAAACAATTTCTTTCTATTTACTAATAAATCTGTTAAAAATATGTTTTTATTTATCCGTAGTTAAATTGTCACACAACGATACTAGTATATATAATAGGTTTTGAATTTCAAGTGAAAACGTCATTACTCGAGTTTGGATAATTTGTAGGTTTTTAATTAATTCTAAAATCTTAATTAACAAAAATCCAATTTCATCTCTTAAAAATATTTTTAACGTCAAATATTAAAAGAAAATTTAGTCAAATAAAATTCTAAGAATTTTTTAATTTGAATTCTCTATAGAATACCAATATAAGATACCGAATATCAAAATAGGGATTCACTAAACAGGTTTATGCAACCCTTCACAAAAATAAAACTTCAATAATGAGTTTTTTTTGTTCTCACGGATTTTTGTTTAAAGTTTTTAACTTTTCAACCTTTTCCATTTTGACTGAAATAAACTGTAACTTGACACAATTTTCAAATTCTGATATTCAATTCTACTTACACAAAATAGAATATGAAATAGATAAGCAAATATGTTGTTAATACAAAATATTTACTGTCGATGTTCTAACAGTCGAAAACGAAAACAATCGTTGATTAAATTCTTATGAAAATAGACCAAACGAATAAAGTCCAGAAAATTAAACTGTTACCTTTACCTGGAACGATGATACAGAAAAAATGAATCACGAATTTTAGAATTTTCATCTTGTGATTCACCATCACGCTTCATGGTACTTAATCATTGATCACAAAATATTTTTTTTGCGTCACTTGTATTTCTTAATCAATCTTTAATATTCTATTTTGTTTGCTTATTTTTTAATCATTTTATTTTCTCACAAAAATAACAAGGATTTAAACGCACTGTCCTCCGTTGTAGAGATACTCAATTCTACTGAATCTCTCCGTGTCTCTAAATACCGGGGGGAAATTCTCGAAACCGACCTCCAGCCCTCCATAGCCCGGCCTCAAATCCACGAAAAGTCGGAACTGGTTTGAGAGTGACGTCACAGGAAGTTTATTCCGTTGGGAAATTTTACATCTCTCAGCCCTGAGAGTGTTAATGGGACGGTTTAGTGTACAGCCTCATAATATAGTATTAGACTACTAAACAAAGTAAAAAAATAAAACATTTTAAAAAATAATAACGATTAATAAGTTAGAAAACAAAAATTTAAATGGTAGAATATGTCTCTTTCAAATTTCGATGAAGATTTCTGAAAATGATGTTTAAGGTTTTATTATTTAAAGTTTTCTTTTCTTTCTGAGTTCATTTCAATATTATAGTCCTATAGCTGGGAGCTGTTGTTTGGAGTATCACTAATCTTGAAAGCTTGAACTCGATATCCAATACAGGCTCTTTTAGATGTAAAGATCAATGCTTGATCCCTTCATTTGATTTATCCCTACAGGGTATAACAAACATGGGTAATCTAATAGTAATTAAATTAGTCCGTAGGTCTGCATAACATAAAGATCAATGCTTGATCTATCCCTGCAGGGTGTAACAAACATGGGTAATCTAATAGTAATTAATTTAATCCGTAGGTCTGCATAACATAAAGATCAACGCTTGATCCCAAGATTCAAACCAACAAATTACTGACTTCAGAGCTGGGATCTTTAGAATAGATAACCTTTAATCCCGACTGCTTAATTAGAATATCCATTGTGAAAACTTTTAACTATAGTTCTTAATCCACTCTTTTTCTCTCTCTTTGGAAACCTGGCGTTCTTAGAATCAAATTTGTTGCTCTAAATAATTAATCTCGAGACATAACATAATCTCGAGATTATGTTAGTCTCGAGATTAGCAAAAAGAGAGGATCAAGCATTAATCCCGATATCCACCATTCTAAAGTTTTCAGCTCAGAGCTGGGAACTTTAGAATAGATAAACTTTAACCTGACTTCTTGATCCGAATATCCACTGTGGAAACTTTTAATTTTTGTCCTAATCCACTCTTTTTCTCTCTCCTTAGATATCCGTTAATTGTTTTCTCCAATGAGAATATTTCTGTTCTCTCATTGGTTGCCCGCTTTTCTCTGATTGGCTGCTACAGTTTCTCAGATGAATAAATATTAATTTGAATGTTATCGTTTTTCATACACTTTTAAGATAATCTTGCAAGATTATGTTAATCTTGAGATTATCAAAAAGAGAGGATCAAGCATTAATCCCGATATCCACCATTCTAAAGTTTTCAGCTCTGTTTATATAGATATTTATCATTGTAATTCTGAAGAAAATATGTCATAAACTTAAATATTTAAAGAATGCTTGTTTTTTATTTAAATGAATCAAGTATGTGATGCATGATTATGATTATCATTGTAAAAAGCTATTTCATCATTTTTATTCATTTTTACATACCATAGATAACAAATAAAGTTTGTGGCGCCAATCAAGGTGATTCAGATGTCTAGGTTTTATGTTCAGTAAGACTTTTGTATGTTCACAATTTCTTCTATTTTTCTTTTTAAATGTCTGAAAATTAATAGTTGAAAATTAAGTACATTACTCCAAATGGTTTCGCATGATGTCGCCTGTTATGTACACTTTTAATCAAAAAAACAATAGCGTTGCCTTTTATTTGAACTTATTGATAATATATATAGAAATTCACCTAGTTATTCATATTAATTATTATACTGTGACTAGATTTATATTCCTAATTAAGAACACTTCTTGAAAAATAATTAGGATAATTACGCTAATTAAAATAATAATCATCAAGCTTTGAAAATTAATTGTTTTTGTAATTTTCCTACAAAAATGATTTAGATATTGTATAAAAAGGTATTTTTCAATTACAATTATTAACTAAAACTTTCAATTTTTTTTGTTCACTATCACAAAAAATAAGATTATCTCTCATGACATATAAACATTATATCTGATAGAGACTTTTTTATTTATAAAAAGGCATGAATCACTAATTTTCAATTTTCATTTGTGATTCACGCTACATTTAACTTAAAAATTGATCACAATACATTAATTGAGTCATTTTTATTTTCAAATCAATCTGATGCTTTCTTGAAAATTACTATTTGTAAAACAGTTTATATCTTTTTCCAAACTTTGCTCTGTAATGGAATCCTTGAAAGTAAAATAGAGGAAAATCGTGAAATATTTGCAAAAAAGCATAAAAATACTAAACTGCTTGTGAGTGGAATTTTCCAGCAATTTCTCACAAAACTTTTCGTTAATTGTTGACAATGCAATTCTATTTTAAAGTTTAAAGTTCATATTATCCAAATAACATTAATCATATTTTGATTGATGTTTAATCTTTAGATGTTTAAATACATGCTGTTTTATCAAAATCACACAAACAATGTTTAGGAGATGCAATATAAAATTATAACCTTCCCCCCCCACTTTTATTCTCTCACCCCCCTCCCACAAATCAACCCTTTTCCTATATTTATCTTAGTTTGAGGATAAAAGTGTCCCAACTGAAAGGAAAATACACTAAATACCTGATTTTGTCTCTAATAAAAACATTGGAATAAACTCAGGAATGCTGAGAAGTTGAAAGCTTAAAGATTGAACACTCCTGTTAATAGTTGACAGTTGTATCTTTGTGAGAGGTTTAGTTATTATCTTAGTATTGCAAAGCAATTGTTTAAAAATAGTTTTTTATATAATTCTGCAATGTATGTTTGTGTGTGCATCCTCACTCCTTAAAGGTACTGTAAGCATAATTCAAAGTGACCTTCCATTTAAAGAGAGACATCCCAATTCTCATTAGTTCCTTTTGAAGCTTTGATTGGCCATTGAGGACATAAAAAAAAGCAAAAATAGGAGTGAACATTAGTGTACTGTGTGAACTAATGCGGATGACCTCACATTTACACCATAATATTCTGTTTTACACGCTGGTTACAATAAATTAAATGTATATATATATATTATTCTGAATAATTTGCCATTAATGTTAATCCTTAGTGCGCCCCTATTATATGCGCTTTATTATTAGTCCCTTATTTTTAATATTGAATAATAATAAATAATATAATTCTAATATTTTACTGTTTGCAATATTTCTTATTCTAATCAGCTTTATTAAAGATTGGAAAATTTCTAGAAATGATAAGAAAAGATGCTCGATTTTTGTAACAATAACTCTTTCATAATTTACCTAGCTTCTCTGTTTAGTGTTAAAGATAACACTTATTTACTGTTTCTTCAATTTTAAAGATAGGAAATTTATCTTTTAAACTATTGTTAATTCAGCTGAACTGTCTGTAAACAATACATTTTGTTGTACTTTTCAATATTCTAGTTCAAAACGCAAAATAAGCTATCTGATTAGCTATCTGATTATCTATCTGATTATCTGTCTGATTATCTATCGGATTATCTATCGGATTATCTATCTGATTATCTATCTGATTATCTATCTGATTATCTATCTGATTATCTATCTGATTATCTATCTGATTATCTATCTGATTATCAAACTGATTATCTGATTATCTATCGGATTAAAAATTTGATTATATATCTGATTGTCAATCTGATTATCTATCATATTGTATATCTGATTATATATCTGATTATATATCTGATTATATATCTGATTATCTATCTGATTATCTATCTGACTATCTATCGAATTATCTATCTGTTTATCTATCAGATTGTATATCTGATTATATATATATATGATTATATATCTGATTATCTATCTGATTATCTATCTGATTATCTATCGGACTATCTATCTGATTCTCTATCTGATTTTTTTATCTGATTATATATCTGATTATCTATCTGATTATCTATCTGATTATCTATCTGATTATCTATTTGATTATCTATCTGATTATCTATCTAATTATATATCTGTTTATCTATCTGATTATCTATCTGATTATCTATATGATTATCTAGCTGATTATCTATCTGATTATGATTGGCCATTGAGGACATAAAAAAAAGCAAAAATAGGAGTGAACACTAGTGTACTGTGTGAACTAATGCGGATGACCTCACATTTACACCATAATATTCTGTTTTACACGCTGGTTACAATAAATTAAATGTATATATATATATATTCTGCCACTTCTAGAAAGTGAATATCAATAGTCCTTAAATATAAAACATCTTGCAATTAAATTGTTTATCAATTTAAAGTGATTCTGTAGATAATTAAGGAAAAGTTTGTCATCCTTGATAAGTCAAAGGTTTCGATGGTACCATTGTGAATCAGAGATTCCCCTCTTCAAATACAATGACACTTAAAACTATCCTTGCAGTTTGGGGTGGACCGTTTCCACTTTTTGAAAAAACTATCATTTCGTTTTTAAAACGACGAGGAAAAAATTAAAAACCAATCGATCATTTTTAAAAACTATCTTTTTTTAAATATTGTTTAAAAAAAAAAATTTCAAAAGGATCTTTTTTCTTTAAAAAAAGGATAGTTGTAAAAAAAAAACGTTTTTTTGTTTTTAAAAAAAGATAGTTTTTGAAAACCATCCTTCATGAACGATCGTTTACAATGACCCTTCGTTAAGGATCATTAACAATGATCCTTTGATAACGATCGTTTTAAAAACGATAAACAACTCTTCTTGCAGTCTCCCTTTTATAGTGTGTTCCCATTCCCAGCAGTATGTCCAAAAAATGCGTCAAACATTATAGAAATCCAACGTATAGAAATGGCTAGGTATAGCAACAAGGAGTATTTTCCGGGAGAATTCTTTTTTATATTTTTGAGAAATTAAACGTTTTTGTAAAACGTTGTAGCTTATCATTATCATTATCTTTTACATCTATTTTTTGTAACATACCCTAGACAATATATGCAACTAACCTGATTAATATGTACATTTGTACTGCTCTCAATTGTGTAAAGTCCTCCCAGATTTGATTATGTACTGACAACATAAATGAATGATTATATGGTTACATAAAATTCCGTGTTACTATTTTATGAAAATGATATGTACAGTTTTATTTTTACAAAAAAAAAATTCTCAAAAATATAAAAAAAAAATTGCACAAATGCTAAAATATGATTTCATAAAATTCCGTGTTACCATTGAAATGAAAGGATTT